TCCTCATTTAAAACTATTTCCTCTTACATATAAATTTACTCCAGTTCTTATAATCAACATTATAATCCTGTTAATTGACATTCAGGCTTGGTTCACACTGCCAGGAAATTTGGCGCCAACCAAGAACAGATCAGTAGGATATAAACACCCATTTCATTAGTCCAATAAAGAACAGATCAGTAGGATATAAACCCCCATTTCATTAGTCCAACCAAGAACAGATCAGTAGGGTATAAACACCCATTCCATTAGTCCAATAAAGAACAGATCAGTAGGATATAAACACCCATTTCATTAGTCCAATAAAGAACAGATCAGTAGGATATAAACACCCATTCCATTAGTCCAATAAAGAACAGATCAGTAGGATATAAACACCCATTTCATTAGTCCAATAAAGAACAGATCAGTAGGATATAAACACCCATTTCATTAGTCCAACCAAGAACAGATCAGTAGGATATAAACACCCATTTCATTAGTCCAATCAAGAATACATCAGTAGGATATAAACACCCATTTCAGTAGTCCAATAAAGAACAGATCAGTAGGATATAAACACCCATTTCATTAGTCCAACCAAGAGCAGATCAGTAGGATATAAACCCCCATTTCATTAGTCCATAAAAGAACAGATCGGTAGGATATAAACACCCATTTCATTAGTCCAAAAAAGAACAGATCAGTAGGATATAAACACCCATTTCATTAGTCCACTAAAGATCAGATCAGTAGGATATAAACACCCATTCCATTAGTCCAATAAAGAATAGATCAGTGGGATATAAACACCCATTTCATTAGTCCAATAAAGATCAGATCAGTAGGATATAAACACCCATTTCATTAGTCCAATAAAGAACAGATCAGTGGGATATAAACACCCATTTCATTAGTCCAATAAAGATCAGATCAGTAGGATATAAATACCCATTTCATTAGTCCAATAAAGAACAGATCAGTGGGATATAAACACCCATTTCATTAGTCCAATAAAGAACAGATCAGTAGGATATAAACACCCATTTCATTAGTCCAATAAAGAACAGATCAGTAGGATATAAACACCTATTTCATTAGTCCAATCAAGATCAGATCAGTAGGATATAAACACCCATTCCATTAGTCCAAAAAAGAACAGAACAGCGGGATATAAACACCCATTTCATTAGTCCAATAAAGAACAGATCAGTGGGATATAAACCCCCATTTCATTAGTCCAATAA